ATTTCAGCTCAATAGAAAGGATAACTTGCATTTAAGCTTTTAAAAACTAGAATGGCCTGCTTCATGTGAATCCAGTCGCTTAGGGGAGGGGGATTATAGTCTAGTAGAGAAAGATAGGATATACATGAATAGCTGTAATATAAAATAATATATGGTAAGCATGCTAGGTGAGATGCAAATCAAGTGCTTTGTGAGGTCCAGGCAGGGCAAGGTTATTATCAATTTTGAGGATCAGGGAAGATTTCATAGGAAGGGTAGTTATTGATTTCAGGTTTAAGATTAGGTAGGATGCAGCAGATAGTTGGGCAGGAGAGGAAAGAGTATTCTAGGCATAAGGAGCGAAAGTATGGAGTTAGGAAAGAGTGGGAGAATCTACAGGAACCACGAATATGCTAGTATGACTGGGGCATAGACCTGAAAGTGGAAAGATAGAGTGGAGTCAGATAGTGGAGGGCCTTGAAAGCCAGACTGAACTCAGTACCAGAGATAGTAAGGAATCACTGAAGAATTTTGAGCAGAGGAGTGGCATGGCCAGAATCCATGAAATCTGTGGTGGATAGCATGTTTCTTCATGAGTCCTCTGGAATTATGGTCAGTCGTGTTGATCAGAGTTCTTAAGTTTTTCAAAGTTGCCTTTATAATATTGCTGCAATTGTTCTCTTGGCTCTGCTCACTTCACTCTGCATCAGTTCATAGGAGCCTTCCCAGGTTTCTCCGAAACTATCCCCTTCATCCATAGTATTCTATCACATTCATATCATAACTTGTTTAGCTATTTCCCATTTGATGGACACTCCTTTAATTTCTAATTCTTTGACACTAGAAAAGGAATTGCTAGAAATATTTTTTATGCATATGGGTCCTTTTCCTCTTTTTTGATCTCTTTGGGATATAAACCTTGTAATGGTATCATTGGGTCAAAGAATGACCAGTTAAATAGCTTTCTGGCTGTAGTTCCCAATTGCTTGTCAGAATGGTTGGACCAGCTCATAGTTCCACTGGCAGTGCATTAAGGTACCTATTTTCCCACATTCCTTCTAAGACTCTGTCCCTTGCTGTTCCATCATTCATTGTTGGTACAGAAACTTCTCTTGATTCTCCAAAAACTCATCTGTCACTCCATGGGCCTCATTCCATTGCTGCTAATACGATGTTCCTTAAGTTGCTGCCTAGTCCCAGCAACTCCTCCCTGCTCCATCACCGGTATCTCTGGGGCCATGTTGTTCTCACCTCTTCTGGGCTCATGTAGTTCCTAGATACACATGGTTCCTTGGAGGAGTCATGGCACTGGGAAGGCCCAGGCATCAATCCCCAGAGAGACACAGGCTGGCAAGTACTACTGTGGGGGTAGCAGCCACAATTACTGACAGCCCAGAAAAGACAATTCTTACCACCAAAGTCCTTGGGCTATCAGATGGTTCAGCATTAGAAGCTGATAGGATCTAATTGGTAAAAATGACTTTAAAGAAGAGGCATTACTGCCTGCTTTGTCACTGAACCCTAAGTGTTGAGGTTTAGGGGTGCTGGGACCCCAAAATCACAACACGCGGATCCTGCCCGAATGAATTCAACCCAAGCCTTCTTTCAGCCAATGACAAGGTTTATTAGAACATCTGTCATATTGGGCAGACTCTTAAGGAATCTAAGCATTTGTATTGCTAATGCAAGCAGGTCAGATCTTAAGAGTCTGAGCAGTGGCTAGATTTTAAGAATCTGAGCACCTTAATGGAGACAAGATGGACCTTATATACAGAAGGACTATGGGAGGGATCTAGGAAGGATCTTGATGGGAGTGACTGGAAGATTGAGAATAGGGTCTAGATAGGGTCAAGGGTGGGAAGTGACCAGGGGTAATTGGGAGGTAACAGAACAGAACTGGGAGTTTGGGTGTAGCCACAAAGAAATGCTAGTTGATAGGATTATAGCCTCAGGTGAACACCAGAGATTCAACCAGGTGGAAAAGTCCAGGGTTTTTCCTTATTGGGGTCCAGATACCATCCCCATCATTAGGACCCTGGAACACTTCTGACTTCCAGCTGAAACCTTCCCTGGGTTGTCTCCCCCATTAGAATGTGAACTTCTTAAAATCTAGAAGGTTTTCACAGTGTTTTGCACATAGTAAGTACTTAATACATCTTCATTCATTCATTTATTTATCTGACCAGCTTCTCTGTGGTCATCTCAGCCCTCACTCTCTGTCTTTGGCCCTCTGGTCTTCCTTTTAAAGGCCAGGTCCACGGGCAGAGCCCCAGGTTTATGATTAGCCTTGATTCAATCTGTCATCCTTAATGTAGAGGAAAGGGGCATACCCAGAACCAAGCAATTCAGACTTTACTAAGGGAACTCTATCACCTCATTAAGCAAAGATAAAAGGGTTTCAGGATGGTCTCACTAGGCACTTTCTGGACATACCCTCTATAAAAGATGGATCAGAAAATCATGTGAATGATAAATTTGGAGGGAGAAAGAATGGAAGCCAGAAAGTCTGCTGCCTTAGTACAGATGAGCAGTAAGGAGGGTTCATATCAGGGTCGTGGTGGTGGGAATATAGAAGGGAATGACGTAAGAGATGCTATGAAGGTGGAATCCATAGATTGGTGATGATAACTGACTATGAGAGGAGAGAGAATATAATACCTGGGTTTTAAAGCAACTGAATGAGTGTTGGTGCTACTGACAGAGAGAGTAAATTAGAATAAGGAGTAGGCCTTGAATAACAACATAACAAGTTAGGTTTCAGACATATTCACTTTGAGGTAATACTTGTGTGGAGATACACTGTTAAGTGCAAACTACATTCTGAGTGCCGGGCTAGGGGCCAGGGCTGTAAATTTTGTTACTTAGTTGTTTCAGTCCTGTCTGACTCTTTGTGACCCCACTGGGGGTTTTCTTGGCAAAGATACTGGAATGGTTTGCCATTTCCTTCTCCAGCTCATTTTACAGATGAGGGAACTGAGGCAAACAGGGTTCAGTGATTTGCCCAGGGTCACACAGCTAGTGTCTGAGCTGGATTTGAACTCAAGTCTTCCTGACTCCAGGCTGGGCACTCTACCACTGCACCACCTACCTGTCCCACACTGTAAATACAACGCGTGAAACAATTCCTGCTTCCAAGGAGTTTACATTCTAATGGAGAAGGCAACAGAGACAAATGTAATGGTACATACAAAAAATATAAAGAAGATAAATACAAAGTAGTTTGAGAGGGAGGGCAGCTATATGAGTGGCAAGCAGGCAGGTAGGAGAGATATTGTGCAGGTAGAAAGGGCAGAATTATCTGGGGTGAGGGAGAGAGAAAATATGAGGATAAGGTACCTTTAACAGAAAGAGAAGTTTAGGGGCAGCTAGGTGGCGCAGTGGATAGAGCACCAGCCCTGGATTCAGGAGGACCTGAGTTCAAATCCAGCCTCAAATGTATAACACTTACTAGCTGTGTGACTCTGAGCAAGTCACTTAACCCTATTGCCTAACCAAAACAAAACAAACAAACCAAAAAAAAGAGAAGTTTGGAAGATTAGTGTGTTGGGGTTCTGTTGTGGATATGTTGAGTCTGAGACATCTCTAGGAAATACAGTTTGAAATGTTCAATAGACACTTGATAACTGGGTCCTGAAGCTCAGGAGAGAGTCTGGGACTGAATCTATAGATCTAGGAGTCCTCAGCACAAAAATGCTCATTAAATTTTCTGTGGGAGCTGATGGGTTCACTGAGAGAGTGTATACAGAGAGAAGAGGACAGGGGCGCAAAACAGCCTTCAGGGACAACCAAAGTTGAGGGGTAGATCTGGGTGATGAACCATCAAAGCAGAGGGAGGAGCCACTAGACAGGTTGGAGAACCGTGAGAAAAGAAAGAATATTCAGAAGGAGAGGGTGGTAAAGGGTGTCGGCAGAGAGGTGGAAGAGGAGAACTGAAAAAAAAAAAGACTATCCATTTGGTAGACAGTAGGAGATGTGAATCTAGAACTCAGCTGAGGGTATTATTGAGTTTTATTGATTTGAGAATCATCTATATAAAGGTGGTAGCTGAAGCCATGGGCATAGATGAGACCACTAAGGTAGAGAGAGAAGAGGCCAAGCATAAATGATAGGTCACTTCTTTGTCCCAAACCCTTAACTGGCTCCCCACTGTCTACAGAGCAAAGGTCAGCCAGGAATTCAAAGCCCACCACTGTCTGACTCCACCCTGTCTATCCAACTTATCTCATACTTCTCCTTTCTAGGTATCATTTTCAGTGGCCGTCAAATTGTAATACTCATAGACCCAGGAGATATCCTTTTCTGCCTTTCCAGCTTCATTCATGCTATACTTCATGCTTCCAATTCCTCTTCCTGCCCAGCCCTTTTATCTGCTAAATTCCTACCTAATTTTATGAGGCAGGGATAGTGACTGGACCTATAATTGAATTGCTATCAGGAACTTCCTTATAAGGACATTACCTTTAAACCAAAACTGGCCAGCAACTTGTTTGCAACTTGAGAGTATTATATTGCTACTATGTGTCAGTCAGTCAATCAGTCAATAAGCAATTATTAAGTGTTAACCACGTTCCAGGTAGTGGGCTAAACTTTGGGGATACAAAGAAAGGCAAAAAACCAGTCCCTGCCCTCAAAGAGCTCACTTTCTAAAGGAGAAGACAACATGCAAATTAACCGTGTACTTTCAAGTGATGTAAGTATAAATAGATGTTAACCTCAGACAGGAGGCACTTGCTGGCAGGAAGGGTGAAGAGGAGACCAGAAAAGGCCTCCTGCGGAAGGTGAGATTTGAACTAAATCATGAAGGAAGCCAGGAAGCTGAGGCAAGGAGGGAGGGCATCCCGGCAGGAGGGATAGCCAGTGCAAAGGCAATGCACGGTAAAGAATGTCAAGTAGACCAGAAGAGCTGGATCCCAGAGCGTGTCAAGGGAGGTGTCAGATGACTGGAGAGGTAGAGAGGGGGTAGGGGGTAAGGGGCTTTGGCCCCACCACTAATATGCTTCTCATCTACTATTTTATACCAGAGAACACTCGGCATTCATGTTAGGACGAGCATGAGAAGCCAACAAGGGAGCCCCGAGCAATGGTTGGCAGAGTTGGAAGAGAACCAGGAGAAGGTGAGGTCCCTGAAGCCAAGGAAGGAAGGAGTATCTGGGGGGCAGGGGTAGCCAGCCCCATCAGGGAGAATAGGAACTAAAAGAAGCTACACAATTTGGCAGTTGGCAACATTGGAGGGGCCAGGAGGGTAGCGGGGACAGAGGTTCAATGGCAAGGGATGAAGGAGAAGGTGGGTGGGGAGGAAATCGAGGAAGTAAGTGATAGACAACATTTTCAAGAAGTATAAGATGAAGAGGACCAGAATCAGTCAACAAGGAAAACAAGAGAGATGGCTGGTAGTTGGAGGGGGTGGAAGGGTGGAGTGGGCATTTATAGAATGTTCGTTGAGTTAAAGGTTCAAGGAGAGGCTCGTCGGGGTCACTGGAGCATGTTTGTGGGAGGAAAATGAAAGAAGGCCAACAGAGACTGAAAAATGGGATGAGAGCTGGAGATGGGATCCAGGGCATAGGTGGAGAGATTAGCTTTCACAAAGAAAAGAAAACTCCTTCCTTCCTCTCCCCCCAAGCCAACACCTCTCCTGCACTTCCTCGTGTCTGTCCGGGGCACCCCATTGTTCCAGTACCTAGATTTGAAACCTTGGGGGTGTCCTCGTGCTTTCTCAGCTCTATTAGCCAATCAGTTATTGTGTTGATTCCACCTCTAGGATGCCTGTCCCATCCATTCCTTTCTCAATGCCCCAGGACCACCCCTCGACAGGCACATATCACTTCTTACCTGGACTGTTACAATGTTTTCCCGATTGGTCTCCCTGCATCCAGTCTCTTCCTCTCTCCAATTCGTCCTCCATACAACTGCCAAAGCAATGTTCCCAAAGCTCAGCGCCACCCCTTCTCGGTAAGATCCCATAGCTTCTAGTTGTCTCTAGGATAAAATACAAACTCGTCTCTTTGGCATTTAAAGCCCTTCATAGCCTGACTCCAAACTCCTTTCCTGCTCTCACAGACTCTGCGATCTCACCAAAGGGACTTTCTTGCTCTTCCTCACATGCTGGCTGTGACCCTCTCAGGCTGCATTGGTAGAGGGCGTGTCCTCATAAAGAAGTCCCTGATATCAACCTTTTCATGCTTTTGCCCTGCTTGTTCCCCATCTCTGGAATGTGCTTCCTTCTCAACTGCACCTGTCCAAATCCCCAGCTGCCTCCAAAGATCAGCTGGAGCACCACCTTCTTCACCAGACCTTCTCTGGTCCCCCCGGGGAACCTGCTAGTGCTTGCACCTCTCCCCATCAAAATTACCTCATCTTTATTTTGTACCTACTTGGACATACCTGCTTACATGTGTCTAGTTGTTTCTGCTGGGTAAAGCATAATCTCCTTGAGGGCAGGGACTTTCATTTTTAGCTCTGTAACTTCAGCTGGCATAGAGTAGGCACTTAATAAATGCCTTCTGATTGATTGTTTGATCACAAGAGTGAAGGAGAGAACTGAGGATGACTGAGAGGTGTAGAGGCCTTAGCACAGCGCCTGGCACACAGTGGGCATTTAATAAATGACTAGCCTGGAGAAGTTCCCCTTCCCCTTGACAATCATTCACAGCTCAGGGAGGTAAGAGTTAAAACCTTCTGCTTCAATCCTGAGGGAATGGAGGAGTGTGGAGAAGGTCCAGGATAATTGCTGCGGGCAATGAAATAGGGAGTCCATGAGAGAAGAATAGAAGCAATGCTGAGCATCAGTTAAAGCCTCAGTGAGATGATGCGTCATAAACGTATAACAGGTGAAATTCAAATAAGTTCAATAAGCATTGATTAAGCACCTACTGTTCACAAGGCACTGGGGGCACAAAGGCAAGAATAAAAGTCCCTAGATTTTAGCAGTTCACATTCCATTGTGAGGTTGCTAAATGTATAGAGAAAAGTCAATACAAATAAAGTGATTTAAAGAGGGAGAAAGCACCAAGCACTGAGAGGAATCCCAAAAGGTGGAACGTGACATCTAAATTGTGCTTTAATGGAAGCAGGGGGTTCCAAGGGGCAGAAGTGAGAAGGGAGGGAGATCAAGGTCAGGGGTGGGGAATCTGCAGCCTCCAGGCCACATGTGGGCCTTTGAGAAGGTAGATTGTCTATCCCTTTGTTCTGTGAAGTTTGGATTCAGTCAAAGGGCCACACTTGAGGACCTCGAGGGCCACATGGGGCCTGGAGGCCACAGGTTCCCCACCCCTGGTCTAGGTGTACCCCGTGGCCCCAGGCTCCTCAAACCTTTGGTCCTCCTGAGCCAGGTTTTTTTTCAGGGACTACCCAAAGAATCACTCCCTCTCTTTGCTCATATTGCTCGGGCCCAGAGTTGACCTTCTGTCTAGGTCTTCACAGATGTGAGTCACAGGTCCCCCCAGATCCCATAGAAGGTCTCAAAGGAACAAAGTGTTTCTCACATACACAACATCCTTCATTTCGCTCTGCAGCAAATGCAGAAGACTAGGGCCCAGTAACAAAACAGAAGACATTTTAAAGACTCACAGTAGAACAAAAACACTCAAACATTCCATGAAGGCCCTCTTTAACCCCCCAGGGATTCATAGAGACTGTCCTTCAGTCCTCTGGCACTACTCTGAGGGCTTGTGAAAGCAGATGCTTGTGCCTCCCAAATCACATCTCCTTCATCCTCTGTGTAGCTGATTTTTAAAAATAGGAATAAATTTATGTTTCTTCCTATTAAATTTCAACCTGTTGTAGCCCATTGTTCCTACCTGTCAAGATTTTTCACATCCCAAATTGTCATCCAACCCAGTAAGTATCCATCTCTGAATCACATAATCCTCAAATTTGATAAGCCCACTGCCCATCTATGTATTCATTCTGTGTATTAATTAAAATGTTGAACAGAATAGTTCTGAGGACAGAGCCCTGTGGCCTACCACTAGGGACAGCTGTCCAAGTTGACAAACCCATCAGACAGTACTCTTTGGATCTAGTCATGCATCCGGTCACATCTATTCGTCATGGCCATGAAGCCGTTTTAAGAGAACTTGGCAAAGACCTGAAAGTTGGTTTTGTTTCCCAGTGAGGACAGCATGAGGCGATAAGCTAGTTTGTACAAACACTTAGAATATGGCCCTTGTTGAAAGTCTAGCCCAGGACTCACAAAGGAAAATATACTCTCATCAGGGTGTTGTCAGTGGCACCTAATGCTTCCCCCGACCCCCTCCACTTAGTAGAGAGCAATATGGTGGCCAGCATTTTCCAGGAAATCTTTGTCTATTTTCTGCTCTTGTGGACCTTTGAGGAACTGAAGATTCTGCTGCAGCACTGTCCCAATTCTGACTTGGCTAATGGGAAAGTAAACTGGGTTAAGTCTCTTTTTTTGTTCTTATCCCCTGTTTCTTACTCTGATGGATCCATGATTTTGTCTATGTGGATAGTCCCTCTACTGGTGCCAATCTCAACCCCTGCATTCTTCATCCTATACAATTCTTGTCTCTGTTTTCCCATAATCCCTCCCTAGTCAACCCACCCAACATTCACTGGAGGTCTTCCCCTAGTCTTTTGGCACTTAAGCTGACCATCCTTTGTTTATCATTCTCAGTGCATGACTGATGCTCACTGCCTTTTCCCCAATATAAATACAGTGTAATCCAATTGCATCATCTATAAACTAGGAATAGTATTTTTTTGACGTTCTTCATTTGTGAAGATTTATTAGATTTTATTTATAAAGACTTTGAACTCCCTGTGATTATATTATGTAAATATATACTCTGCATATTAATGAACACAGTATTTGGTTTTTATTATTAAAATGCAGCTGAGGAGGAGGAGGAACTCATTTACAGTTTCAGAAAGGAAATGAAGGAGAGGTATATTCACTTCCATTGTCAGCCAATTTCAGGAGGCTTGTTATTATTCTAGACACCTGTTTCAGTGAAAGGTAACCTGTCATTTAACAATATGGATATTAAACTAGAAACCTCCTAGTGAATATGGTGGCTTAGCCCTCGATAACTTTGATTCAAATAGACTCCTATTTTGTACTATGTGGACCCAAGGCAGTATGCCCTAGAGGATAGAGAGCTAGCAAAAAAAAAAAAATGTTTTTTAATGAGAAGAGAACAGAAGGAAAGCCAGAAGGAATCACAGATAAGCAGGACAGCTTTGAAAGTTACGTGTTGGATTTATAATGTACTTAACCAGAAACGCAGGCTGCATAAAACAGACATTCACAGTTTCATGTGTAATCCTCTCTTGTCCCACAATGTAGAGAGAAATGCTCATTTTATTTGTTGTTTAAGTTCAGAATTTAAAAATAAGTAAAAGAAAATGGCGAGATGTGCCGGACCTGGGGCTAGGAGAGCTAGGATTAAATAAGTGCTAACGTCAACACCCGCTATCTGTGTAAACTGAGGAAGCCACCAACCTCTGTGAGTTGCAGTTCTTTCAGCTGTGAAATCAAGCCAATTGATATATGGGAAACACACGTTGCCAACCTTAAATATCATATAAATGTTACCAATTATTATTATTAATAATAATAATAAATAAGGGGGGTTGGACAACAGGCCTGTAAGGTCCCTTCCATGTCTGTATCTATAACCTTATGACCACATTTACAGAATACTGTGATGATTGAATTGACAAATATGTACATATGCATGTGTGTATATGACATATTTACACATACATATGTATTATATACATATATACAAACATACACATACACACACACACATATATATATAATGTATATACACACATACAGAGTTTCCCAAAAGTCTTAGTGTAGTTTTAAGCTTGAATAGCTTAAATAATCTTAAAACTTCATTAAGACTTTTGGGATGCTACATATACATATGTGTATCTGTGTACATATATATTTTTATAATATATTATAAACTTTATATTATATTTTATAATTTTATAATATATTACAATATTTTATAACATATTATAAATTATATAATATATACACATATACATCCATATCTATATATATCTATGTGTGCATGGTGCTGTTGTTTACTCATTTTCAGTCGCATTTGATTCTTTGCGATCCCATTTGGGGCTTTCTTGGCAAAGATACTGGAGTGGTTTGCATTTCCTTCTCCAGCTTATTTTACAGATGAGGAAACTGAGGCAAACGAGGTGAAGTGACTTGCCCAGGGTCACACACAGCTAGTAAGTGTATGAAGCCAGATTTGAATTCAGGAAGATGAGTCTTCCTGACTCCAGACTCGATGCTTTATCCACTGAGCCGCCTAGCTAATAGTTAGATATAGATATATGCTACCTAGCTGCCACATATATGCATATATATGTATATATGTACATATATACATACATACATACACACACGGGGGCCATATATGTGTATATTTGTATATGTGTGAGTATATATACATAGGGGTGTGTGTATGTATGTGTATGTATGTGTGTGGCGGCTAGATGGCACAGTGGATAGAGTGCTAGATCTGAAGTCAGGAAGACTCATCTTCCTGAGTTCAAGTCTGGCCTCAAGATACTTACTACCAGTGTGACCCCTGAGCAAATCAGTTTTAACCCTGTTTGCCTCAGTTTCCTCATCTATAAAATGAGCTGAAGAAGACAATGTCAGCCTACTCCAGTATCTTTGCCACGAAAACCGCAAATGGGGACAATGGAGAGTTGGACATGACTGAAAAATGATTCAACCACAACATATGCATATATGGGTGTATATATCTGTATGCCCATATGTATACTAGTTGACTGATTAGATCATTTTTACTATCTAAGCTTAATGGTGAAGGGTGATTTATTACCACTGTTAAACTTAGATTGTAGAAATGATCTAGTCAGTCAACTGGTATTTTGACGAATGAAAATCCCGAAACAGAGTTTCTAAGTAATTAATAATCAATTTATTGATTAGGCTAGCTAATAATAAATTGAAGAGCATTGTTCTCTGGACAACCAAAGAAAAAACCATGGAGATCACTGAATGCTTAAATACCTTTGGAACAGAAGGTGCCCCTGACAGGTGAAAATCAACCCTGACTGGTGAGCAGTTAATGAAGGGGTGGACATATTAATGAGGAACTAAAAGTCTTCAGCTCCTCCTGCTGAGAAAATCATGAGACTTACCCATTTCCAGCAAAGGAATCCATCTCTACCCAGACCACTCTGATTGGTTTTCTCCATAAACTGGATTCTCCTAAACTCCAATGGGCAGGGCTTTAATGCTTTAGGACTAGAATTCATCTAGATTAGATTTTGTCTACACTATGAACAAAAGTAAAGTCTCCTGGTTGAGTGGGGTCCCACCAAGATCAAGGGCCAAATACCCCCTGGATTAACCCAATATCATCTTTTAGCCTTGTCCTTCAGAGACTGGCTGAATGACCTACTAGGACTGGTCCTTGAAAGAGGAAATACAAGGGAAAAACCTCGATCCTAATTTAATATTGGTTATTAATATAATAGAAAAATAGTCACTTTTCTCAGTATTTATTAAGCCCCCACTGTGTACTAAGTATTGTGCTAAGTGCTGGGGAGGAAAAAAAAAGGCAAAAGACAGTCCCTCTTCTCAAGGAGCTTCCTGTTTAATTTATAGACTTTTATAGAGAGGCTATTAATTCTATGTGGAATGATAGTAGTAATAATAATAATAAAAGCAGTAATAGCAATATCCAAAGAGTGTCAAAGGTGATGAGGATGGGATCTGGACCCCAAAAAGGAAAAACCCTGGACTTTCCCACATGGCCAAATCTCTGTTGTTCTCCTGAGGCTATAATCCTATCAACTGGCCTTTCATTATTACCTATACCCCATCTCTCAATTCTGTTACCTTGCCCTCCATTGTCTACTACCTCCAGATGACCCCCAGCCACTTCCCACCCTTAATCCTATCTAGACTCCATTCTCCCTTGGCCACGTGGTACAGGTCCCAGGCTTTCTGTTCACCCCAGCTTACTGGCCACTCCCATCCAGATCTTCTTAGATCCCTCCTCCAGTCACCCCAAAGTACTTGGCCACTCCTGGATCCCTCTCACAGTCTTTCTATATGTAAGGTCCATCATGTCTCTATTAAGGGGCTCAGATTCTTAAGATCTGACCCGCTTGCATTAGCAATACAAATGTTTAGATTCCTTAAGAGTCTGCCCAATATGATAGATGTTCTCATAAACTTTGTCTTTGTCTGATAGGTTTGGGTGGAATTCTTTCAGTTAGGACCCACGTATTGTGATTTTGGGGTCTCAGCACCCCTAAATCTCTAAACCTCAACAAAAGGGATAAGCTTTCCAAATATTGAGACTCAGTAGATATAACTAAACCAGTCTGAGGACAGGAAGATATCCATCTCATCACCATTATCCTGCCTGCTACTTGGGTCATTCCAAAGATGCTTTCAGTGTGTCTACAGAAGATGAACCCATATCTTGATGTTTTCATTCAATTACACACACCAGCCATTTTCTCCAAACCTGTTCTATAGTTCACAGAACGCTAAACATAAATGAATGAAAGCAGGAGAGCAACTTGTCCTGGGACGATTTCTAGCTGATCTCTGAAGAAAATAAAATGGCAAATAACTGACTTTATATAGTACTGAAAGGCTCTTTATGTATATTATTTCATTTGAGACTGAACAACGCTAGGAGGCAAGTATCCCCATTCCCATTTTACAGATGGGGAGACTAAGGCTCAGGTTTAGTGACTTACCCATAGTCTCGAGGCCAGTAAGCATCAGAAGCAGAATTGGAACCTCTCTCTTCCCAACTCCAACTCAGCACCCTAAAGACCGAGCGTATTACATTGCTTCCCCTAAAGGCAGCATGGAAGGACAGAAGGAAGACCATTAAAAAGCATCAAGCAAAAGCTTGATAACCCTTTTGGTGTGTGTGGTATTTATCTAGGGGTTTAAATAAATGCTTTCTGAAGTTGCTTCCAACTCTGAGATTCTGGGAATCCCATAATTAATGGAGAGGGAATAGAATTGTAAACGAATACTGAATATACCAAAAGTCTGGGAGTGGTTTTAAACTTGAACTGCTCTCACCCATTTAGCATGCCTTATATTTTTGTAGCTGCAGACCTGACTGTCCTTGCCTTCTCCCACAAGAAGATGGGCAGGCATGACATCATGTTAGCCAATTTCCCTGCTTCTATTGGACACTAACTGGTACTTAATAATGATAACTAGCATGTATGTAGTACTTTAAATTTGTTACCACAACAACCCTGGGAGGTCGACACTATGATTAGCCCCATTTTACCCATAAGGAAACTGAAACTTAGAAACATTTGATGACTTGCCCAGGCTCCAGGCTTGAAAGCTTCTGAGGTGAGATTCAAACTCAGGTCTTCCAGACTCTAAGTCACTCTAACCATTAGGTCACCCTGCCTCCACTGTAATAATGAATTTTAATAGTCCTTAATGAATAAGCATCTCTTTCACATTTTGGTACATATCGGCGAGGTTTCCAGTTGTTTGTTCATGTGTTCAATTGTAATGACTCTGGGGGCTGGTATGACCTATTTCCTTCCTCAAGATGCTGAACAATGTACAATACTCCCACAATTCTACAAAGGCAGGCATAGTTGTGGGGGACAGGACAATAGTGGGGCTCAAGAGGGAAAGCCAGATAAGAAGCTTGTGGACATCGTGGAGGGAGAAATGTTAATACTTCCAACAAGCTCTTGCATTGCAAGATGAACCTCTCTTCATTCAATGAGATCTGTTTGTTTTGCAGTTAACAGACTACAGAGACTGTTTTTGGAATTTTTTCCTGGAGACCTACCCTTTAAACTTTGCCACTAGATGAAGAAATGAGGCAATGTAAGAAGTTGCATGTTTCAGTGGCAATATGTCAATGTTGGAATGTTCCATATGAATTTATTTTTGCAAAATTGCATCATTCTAATGAATAGGGGCACTCTAGACCCCAAAGGCCCAGTCCAACAAAGCATTATTAAGGGTCTACTACCAGAGGGAAGGCCGGATCGATTCAGCCAGTATGTATTGGGGGTAGATCCTGAACCCTGCTCTTCCTGGCTCTGAAGCCAGCTCTGTCTGTGGCATCACACTGACTCTCAGGCCCTACTCTATGGGCGAGAGACAGAGAGACTGAATTTTTTTTTGAAGTCTCTGCTCTCAAAGAACTTATCTTCTAAAGGGGGCCAGGCAGAGAAAACATGGGGAAAGGAAAGCAAACAGTAAGAACTAGAGTGTTATGAAAAGACATATGAGCATTTATGCCTCCTGTCATGGTAACACAAAGCACCAGAAGTATTACTTGTGAGTACATGAGAAGAACCAAGTAGCTACTAAGCTCCCTGTATTAGGCCAGGACTCTCTTAGAGGTTAGGCCTGCTACTATGAGGACTAGACTTATAGATGTATATATGTGTGTATGTATAAGTATATGTGTATGTATTCATGTGTATATGTATGCATATGTTGTATATATATAAAAAATATATATTTTTTAATGGTTTCAGGAATCCATGAGACAGGAAGAGTGCCTCCCCACCCCCTCAGTGATGTTTAGAATGAGAAAATGGTTTCATTTCAGGGCTGGATTCTTCTCCAAGGCCACCCTATGGATGCCAAATTGTCATTGTCCAGTGCCAGCATACTCTGGGGCCATCTCTCTACAAATACAATCTCTCAACAAATATTGAGTATCTATGAGGGTAAGTCAATAATGAAGGGAAATCTACACACATAGTCAAGATACTTTATTTTATAAGTATGACCAAAATTTATATTGCAGAAAACATGAATCCTTTATATTCAGACATAGTAGAGATGGTTAAATTTTAAGGGTTGAAACCTAACAAGATGTCTTGGGGTTTATGGCTAGATTTCTTTCTTTTTTTTTTCTTTTCTTTTTCTAGATTTCTTTCTTAAAGACCATGCCTTATACCCAATTCACTCTGGCTCTCATTGGCCAACAACAGGTCCCAGCCCACACCCCACTTAGTGGTCATCGTTTGCTCCCCCCACCAAGGCTCAGAATGAATGTAAATAATAATTGTTTCTGTTTTAGCTAGAAACCCTGAGGATCTTCCCCTCCCATATTGATTTTTTTTTTTTTTACTACTTAAAAGGGGCCATTTCTTGGCTCATTTCTTACCTAGCCTTAATCACTAAATTAGTGTTGCCTCATTCAAAGTGAGAACATGGAATGACCTTAGCTTCAAAAGGGCAAGGTCTCCCACTGCCTCCGGGGCCATCTCCAGTTGTCCTGATCTATATCTGGCCACTGAACCCAGATGGCTCCAGAGGAGAGAGTGAGGCTGGTCACTTTGCACAGCCCTCACTCACTTAAATCCAATTCACCTGCAAGTCTTGGCATCACCTTCCCATTTTGAATCCTATGATAAATGACGTAGATAGATAGACAGATAAAGCATTTAGTAAGGGCTTACTATTTGTCATGATATTTGTCACTTGTCAGGTTACCAATATAGACAAATAAGATAGTCTTTGCCTTCATGGAACTTATATTTTAATGAGAGAAAATAATATATGGGAGGGGACAGTTATGAGCAGGGAAGCATGGTTTGGAGCTGATGTTCAGGAAGTAAGATTGGCCTGGTTGCCATTGAGATGAGGCAAAAGCTCACCTATTAGACCCCAGGGGTGAAGTACAAGTCTATGGGGAGGTGGTGAGGAGGAAGACCCAGATGGATCAGTGTTGAAGCTGGTGGCCCAGTGAGTGGGAATTGTTTCTATATGTATATTGTAGGTCCTCCAATCATAGAATCACAGATTTAGAGTAGGAAAAGACCACTGAGGTCCCTACGCATAACCCCTTAACCCATACTGGTAATGGAGCTTTCCCAGAGTATACTACAAGGAAAGTAACAGAGTTTGGATTTGAACCCAGATCCTCTGACTTCAAAATCGACATCACCATGCTACCTCCCAATAGGGAATGTTTTTGAAAAATAAAGCTTCACATCAGCTATTGATGACCCCTCATGCCATGTCCTATATAGACACCATGAAAGATACCAAGAAGTTATGACATGAGACATTCTCTCCTCTGAAGCTCTTTCTGTCTGCAAAGCACCAGGTGTGGCTCTGGCAGAAATACAAAGGTAATCCAGGCTGAGTCCAATGAGTGCCTGGCTCGAAAGAACAAACAATCTGCTTGATAAAACAAGACATACATTAACAAAATAATGATTTTAACATGATGAGTATCACAGAGGAGTAAACCTAATGGAGAGTTCAAAGGAGAAAGTTCCTCCCTTGGAGAGGAGCATAATAATTGTTGGGGTGAAATAGAGAGGTAGTGCCCCTTGGACTCCTCAGACCGTGACTTTTTTGTTACTGATCTCTTCCCTCAATTATGGCGCATTTCAGGTGATGATTTGGGAAGGCCGCTTCTTGGTTTAGGCCTGAGAGTCAAAACAAGTCAATCCCACAAGTATTAAGCACCTACTATGTGTCAGGCACTGTGTTAATCAGGCAAGTTAGTGGATAGAGCCTGGGACTTGCGGTTAGTAAGACCTGGGTTCAAATTCTTCCTCAGGCAACAACTAGCTGTGTGACCCAAGCAAGACGCTTTCCCTTTCTGGGCCTTTTTCCCCTCATACATAAGATAAGTAAGGAGTTTAGACTTAGTAACCTCTAAGAACCTTTCCAGCTGTTAATACCATGAACTTATGACCAAAAGAATGAAGGGGGAAAAGGTTATCTTTGGTTCATCCTCATCCTCCCCTTCAGTATCCCATGACCTAGTACTCAATGCTCTGATTTCACTCCTTCACTGCTCCCCTTCTTCCCGGAGTGCATCACTCTACCTGGTCTTGCCCTCCCTGGGCAACATTTTATACTCATATTACTTTCTTTTCCATCAAAACTTGCCTGTCTTTCATCCTTTTGTCTCAGAGTTAGCTCTCTTCTAGAGAATACATGTCGAATTTGATGAGCTAATATCTGCTGGTACATTCTGGGGTGGCTGGCTTGTAGGAGGGATACTCCAGGTCACACAGAACCTTACTGGCCTTCAGACCACCCAGACTACAAGTTATGTCTAGTCACGTGGCCCCAAAAGGCAGGCAGCCTGCCTCCATTTTCCCTGGCCTCAAGAGCTATGGTTGGAGGAACGAACATTGGCATCCTTATCTTATAGGTTAGGAAACAGACTCAGGGAAGTTAAATAATTTGGCTAGAGTCACACCGAGTGTTTGCAGGAAGCAAATTGGAGCAGATGAAGGATTGGAAGGAGTTACAATGTGAACTATTGGTAAGTTGGCACTGATACTTACGTATGGAAATTCATTCTATTTTTAAAGGCACTTAAGTGCAAAATTCAAAACAAAACAGACATTAACTATCCCAGTGACAAGTCCAGTGAAGCTAAACATATTTCGGATCATGTCATTCTTCAGAAAAAGCTTATGATCAGGGTTCTGTTCTATTCTTTTTCTTTCCAAATGTGAAGACAGGAAATATGATCATTTACTGCTTCTTTCTTTATGTCTTGCAAAATTTGACTAAACAGTCTCTATCCTACAAGCCAGTTTCCCAGGGCATCCCATATGCCACCTCATCCCTGCCCTTGGGTCCTATGTTCAGAAGGCAGTGCCTAAGCTACAGTATTATCATTTCTCTTTCACAGGTCCTACCCCCAGAGCTACACATGACGGATATCACCCATCTGCTTCCAGAAGGTGGCAGAATTGGAGATGAGGAGGAGTGAAGGAAAATTATATTGGAGGGGTCATTCTCCCAGCTAAACCACAAGGGCTTCTTAGCCTGGGAAAGAGCTTTATTGGTGGCCCTCACGTGGAGGATGAGAGCAGCACGACTGGTAGAAAGAACGGCATCCAATTGCTATGGCAACTGGAATTTTACAAAGAAATCCCCCTGGCATAGGCGTGTTTCTCAGACAGACTGGCCTGATTATTTCCGTTATTCCTGCCCCTCTCCTTCTGCTCCTTCCTCCACCTCCCATTCCTCCTGTGTCTATTCCCTCCCACCAGACTATGGGGAAGAGTTCTCCTTTGAGGCAATTTCTCCCCCAGCCCACAGTAAAAATCTGACTTTGCGTGATGGAGGTCCTTTCCCTGCAGCAGGAAATGTCCCTGTTATGCAGTAGGAGGCTCTGATCCTGCTAAGAACCATAAAGAACCCATGGCAGGTGAGGTTACCCAGTAACTGCCAAAGAATCCTGGCACATACCAGGCCATTTGTTTTCTTTCTACCAGTGACTTGCTGAATCACCAAACCTCTCTGAGCTCCCCCCTCTACACCAGATTAATGTTTCACTGGATTACAGGAAATGTGTAAGAGGTGGATGATTCACTTTTGTGTTCAACTGCCTCAATCTGGCACCAATCTACCTTCTCAGTTCAATCTCTGACTCCCCAATACCTACTCTTGGTTCTGACCAGATTGTATTAATGATCATTTCTAAACATACCCTTTAATTTCCCACTCTGTGCCTTTGTCTTTATCATTTACTCTGCCTAGAAGGTTTGTCACACCATAACCCCATATCAAAATCCTCACCATGCCTCAAGACCCAACTTAAATATAATTTCCTTCTTGAAGCCTTCCTTGATTTCTTTCCCTCCACCCATCCTCCCATCTGAAAGTCAATTGCCTTTCTCTGAAATGCAAGACTTTAGGTGCTTGTAGTATGGAGCACGTGATGTTATTGTTATTTGTATACTTGTGTTATTTCTCTTACTGATCTTTAAAAAAGCCATCTGTGCTTGCTACTTTTTTTTTCTTTTTTTGGTGAGGCAGTCAGGGTTAAGTGACTTGCCCAGGGTCACACAGCTAGCTAGTAAGTGTCAAGTGTCTGAGGCTGGATTGTGCTTGCTACTTTCTTCTTAACTTTATGCAGGCTGGTTTTACACCTCATCATTCAACTGAAACTGCCCTCCCCAAAGTTGAAGTCCCTTCAAATCTAATGGCCTCTAATCAACCCTGACCTCTGCATCAACTAGGTTTTTGTCACACTGACCTGTTTTGGCAGTCTGACCACTCCCCAGTTTCCTTATTCATTGTCTATGAAACACCTACTAATTTGTGGGCAAAGCTCTGTTCTGGGCCTCTCTTCTCTTTTCTCTCAATACTTTCTTGGTGACCTCATCTGCTCCTATGGGTTCAATGATGGTCTCTGTGCAGATGAGTTTCAGACCTGTGTATCTAAGCCTAGTCTCTCCTGAGCTCCAGTCCCATATTATAAACTGCCTCTTGGGCACTTAAAACTGCAGGTCCCATAGGCATCTATCTCAGACTCAACATGTCTAAAACAAACTCTTTGTCAAATTCACACTTCTTCCCAACTTCCCATTTACTGTTGAGGTACCACCATCTTTCCAATCATCAGTGGTTTAATTCCTTGGAATCACCTCAACTCTTCACTCTCTCATCCCATATCTCTATTAAGTGTCCAAGCCATGTTGACTCTATCCATCATCTCTCATGTCCATCTCCTCCTCTCCAGGCATGCAACCATCACTACAGCTCAGGCCTTCATCACCTCTTGCTTGAACTATTACAATGGTCTCTTAACTGATCTCCCCATATCCAGTCTCTCACCTTTCCAGTCCAGCTCCATTTTCCAATAGCGTAGGCCTAATCATGTTACTGTCTTACTTGGTAACTCCAGTGGCTACCCATCATCTCTCACGTGAAATACAGAGCCCTTGACAGCCTGGTTTCATCCTGCTTTTCCAGCCTTATTATAACTTTATTCTCTTTCCCACGCTTTCTATTTTAGCCAAACTAGCCTTTTTGATGTTCCTCAGATATGACGCTCCATCCCTCATCCCCGTGCCTTTGCCCTGGCGCCTCTTGGAAGATCACCTTCTGAGTGGGTCTTTTTCTGACCTCTGCAGCCATTAGGGCCTTTTCTCCCCAAACTACCTTGTATTCCTTTTGGATATATTCTATATATGAGTGTGTGTATGTATATGTTATATGTGTACATATATACATATACACACATGTATATGTGTATACACACACACATATGCATATACACACACACTTGTTGTTTCCCTGTTAGAATGTAAGCCCTCTGAAGACAGGGACTGTTTCACTTTTGTCTTTGTATCCCAGCTTAAAGCCCAATACCTGACATATAGCAGGCCCTTGATAAATTCTAGGTGATTGATACTAGATTGTAAGCTCTTTGAGGGCAGAGTTCTTTTTTATCTTTTATATTCCCTACAGTCCTTAACATTCCCTGGCACATAGTAGGCCCTAGATAAGTATTTTTGGAATAAATGAATGAATTTGAATGAATTTGTAAGAGGTACTTTAATTTAGGGACCACAAGAAATGAGTATACTTCAAGGAGGCAACAAGATGACAGTAGGTAGAGTGTAACAGAGAGTCAGGAAGACCTGAGTTCAAATCTTGCCTCAGATACTGACTAGCTGTGTGACCTTGGGCAAGTCACTTTCTTTCAGCCTTAGTTTCCTAATCATAAAATGGGATAATAATAGCACCTACTTCACAGTGTTCTTGTGAGGATCAGATGAGGTAACACATGTAAAGTGCTTTGTAAACCTTAAAACAATATATATCTAGCTATCAACATTATTGTGATTATTTTTATAGAGACCCAGAACCTATCAGGTCATTATGCATAATGGCTATTATTATATTCATGTTTTTCCCTCTCTGGGTGACCAAAGGATCATAATATAAAGTGGGAGAAGACTGTAGAGGTCATCTAGCCCAACCCCTTTCATTTTACATATGAGGAAACTGAGGCCCAGAGAGATGGAATGATTTACCCAAAGTCACATGACTAGTAAGTATCAGAGTTAGAGTTTGAACCCATGTGCTTCAGCTTTCTATCTAATACACCTTCCCCTGAACCATGGTGCCTCTTCTGTTATATCTGGAGTGAGAGACACCTTCACCAATGCACTCTCACAAAATTGATAATCCAAGCAAGAAGAGACTCAGATGGAACCATTATTAACCCCCCAGGCTGAGCGCTGCAGTTACAATGAATTAGAGACAGACCCAACACCAGTTTTTCCAAGGGCAGGACATTGGGCCACTGTGTGGCAAAGAAGCTGCTTTGCAGGATCGTCAGGACACACCTTTAGGAGGCTTGGGGCAGCTCCATATCTGGAGGATGTCATATAGTGGTACTCCTGGTGGATCACCTTCCTAGGCACCAGATGTTAGACATCATGTTTGAGGATGTGACTGGTGCCCCCACACAGAGAGGTTCCGACAAAAGCCATGGGAGACCAGTGATGTCTGGCAGTTTCCCTTCTCCAGGGATATCAAGAAGAACTGAGCTTCGCAGGGAGCAGTGCCATCTTTGTGGCCATGGGCCATTTTGTGAGAAGGCGCCATCTCATTCTGCGTCCCAAGCTGCCCTCCTCACTTCAGAGCACGGGGTATTTTTTTCAAGGATGACAGGTTCCTAATGGACTTTCTGTAGAGGATATTTCAGATAGGAGCCCATAGTTCACCATCAAAATTAGGGGAAAGCTTCAAAAAGTTAATGGTTCGAGCATTGCTCACCATCCCCCACCTTTCCAAAGACCAATAGCTGCATATGGTAAGCAAACCAGGACATTAAACTGTTTGTATTGTTATCCCAAATCCTTGCAGCAGTACTGGGTCTCTGGCTCCTGCTGATGATGGAGTCTGCCAAGAACAACTCAATACATTCTGTCCTCAGGAGTTTACCCTTTCAGCCGGCCTTTGAAATCTCACCGTATGTGCCTAGAAGATATGTCAGAAACCCAGCAGATGCCAGTCTTGCTGGACTGAGAGCAACCAGCAAAGGGGAATTCAGGCCACCCAGAAGACATCAAGGTAGTCACAGGAACAAGACTGAAGCCACGGAGACAGAACAAAAGATCGGTCCTGGGCATGACTCAGTCTTGCACCCCTCATGCTATACGGATATGTACAGGATTTGTAAGACACCATCATTGGATAACATAGTGACATAAGAGCTGAGATCACCATGGATCTGGGAAACTCACCCAGTTTCTTACATTTATTTCAAGCCAGTGTGATTCCCTAAATTTCCTAGTAGGGAGCAAGGAGGGTGTCATAGAAGGGAGATACCGTCAGCATGCTGAACAAATCGTGAAACAGTGGGCAGAGTGCTTGGCCTGTTACCAGTTGTGTGACCTGGGTAAGTCACTTAACCTCTTGACAAGTGTGTTTCCTCATTGGTAAAATAAGGATAATAATAGCACCTACTTCTCAAAGTTGTTGTGAGGACTAAACGAGGCCGTAATTGTAAAGTGCTTAGCACTTTTCATGGTGCCTGGTACATAGCAGGCATTTAATAAATGCTCATTTTCCTCCCTCCCTTTCTTACTGGTAGCAAGAATGACCTGCACCTGTGTGGGTGGGGCCAAAAGATGAGTGTGAGATATAGATATAGGATCAAGATACTGGAGAAGATACAGAAAGATACTTGAGTAGTATTTGATGGACTAGAAGAAATGCAAAGCAGATGACTATACCTGGGAGCTGGTCAAGGTTCTCCTTATCACTTTCCCCAGAAGGAGGAAGGATAGGGTCCTAGGAGAAGACTATTGTCAGCACTCTGGACAGGGGCTAAGAGATGCGGTCACACCAGCATAAGAGAGAGTGCTGAGTTAGCAAAGCCAAACTATTGTTCTGCCATTGTGGGTGTGTAGGGGCAGCAGGCAGTGGGGCACTTTAGAAGCAAAAAAAAAGGAAACATCTTTCTGGTAAGGTAGACTACCTGCAATTACAGAGTTTGTCACTATTTCAGGAGCCTTTGGGAAACTACTCAGACTCAGACAGGCTTCTGGGGTTTGGGAAGTGCGTGGCTGCCTTTTCAGCATTCCTGGGAAACTTTCCTGGTGTCCATGTTGCTATGTGTCTCCTCTCAGGACATTAAGCCCTTGAGAGGAGACCAAGGGATCTCTGCATGTGTTTCCCCTCCACCCCGGCATCTGACTGGTACCTCCATGTCAGTTATAAGGAGGGTGGAGTGACTGGGACTTTGCCTCAGAATGCCAAATTTAAAGGGCACAGAAAGCAATTTCAGTCCTTCAATAGTGTGGAAATAACAACTAGTTGACCCAGTGGGTGAAATGCTGGACTTGGAGACAGGAAAATCTGAGTTGAGATACTGCCTCAGACATTGCAGGAACCTGGGAACATCACTTAACATCTCAGCCTCAGTTTCCTCACCTGTAAAATTAAGGAATCAATTGGATTCCTTCATCTCTAAGGTCCCTTCCAGTTCTAAATCACAAGAAGTATTGGCTAAATCAGGAAGCTATATGAGGGCCCACTTCCTTTCCTCAGTGTCTACATCTCAAGAGAGCTCCCCCTTGGTCTTCTATCCCAACCTCCAAGGCATCATCCCTCTCCATGGCCTTCCCATCAGTGACCCAGGCTCTCTGGGAGTGCCCTACTCCCAAGTGAATTGAGGGGGCCATTTTTTTTCTGACTTTTTT